ATTCACCCTAAGGTCTTGAATAATCTTGAATGTGGAGAAGAAAAAAAAGTATTAACCTCCTCCTCATGATTGCCCTGCACACCAGCAAATTCCCAGCTGTGGGTCAGGATCTCAGGATGCTATCCAACGTCCCTCACACTCGAAAGTATTTGTTGAAGCATATTTTAGGGGAACTTAGGCAACTTAGAGGCCCCCCACTTGCCTTTGAGCTCATAGGTTTCTTTGGATTCTTCTGGCATCTTATTAGCTCAAGAATGCAAGTTACATAACAGGGTGACACCAGTGAAGAGAGTGAGCAAGCAGGGATCGTGAGGGTTCTCTCTTTCACCTACTAGCTGTGTGTCCTTGAAAAGTGTCCCTTGCTCTGAATTCTCTTATTTTCTCCACTATAAAATGCTAATACCTTCCTCTTTTTACTGTGCTAAATAAAATTGTTAAAAAATAAGCTTTATTTGTTAAATGCAATAACAGGTCAAAATGTCTAGTACAAGTCTTAAGATATTCCTGGTATGTGATAAACATTTTCTCTCTCTCATTCCCTTCTCTCTTTTTTTTTTGTCAGATTTTGTGCTAAATACTGCTAGAAATAAAGGCACACGTAGGACCTAGAATTGGCCTTTGAGATGCTAGTCTCAGGTGACTTTAGTACTAAGCAGAAATGTTACAGCTGTGCCCAAAGCAGGCTGGTAGTTGCCCAGAGGAGCACAGAGGGGGAGGAATGCATTCCATTTTGGGGGAATGGAGAAGCCATCAAGGAAGAAGTGACTTTTGAGAAAGAACACAGACAAGTGGGATTTCTCTACTTCTTCATTTCCATCCTTTCTTCATACACTATTATTTATCCAGAATTTTAAATGTCCAGAGGTGGGGAAAGTTACAAGCCCAGGCTCAAATCTGCTCTCTGGTTCTCTTGATTTTGCTCTCCCTCTTGTACTGACTTGGTTCTCAGGAGACTACGAGGGAGTATCCCAGTGTTTCCTGTAAACTTTATTATTTGAAAAAATGCTACATGTGCAAGAAAAGGCTTGCATACACATGTCAGGACTCACAGACACACTGGAGCCCATCTGTGGGTCCCAGGGTTAATAACTGAGTGAAAAAAACAGCCCTATGAAGACATCTATGATGTCCTAAAACACCCTATGATCACCATGGTTTTCACTTCTTTTTTTTTTTTTCCTGGGTAAACTTAAAAGGGAACTAAATTTTAAAAATTGGTCCAACTGGGCTCTGGACTCAAACTTGTCTGTGTGAGGAGCAGGGAATTTTAACAGAAGAGGGAGAGGGGTGTGCAGGCCAGGGAGATGGCATGAGCCTAGGAAGGCACTGAGGTAGGGAAGCGCAAAGAGATTTGGAGAAGGAGGAGGTGGGTCGCGTTGTGACTGGGATTTTTTGAGGGAGGGTCCTGGTGATGGCTGAGCCAGAGTGTGGATGGCTTGAAGGGTAGGAGTGGGGATGTCTTTGGCTTCAGGTAGTGGAATCCCTGTGCTATGGGACATGCTACCAATCACAATTGTAATTTTATATTCTTTGCATGATGATTTGCCTCCTCCATAATTTGTCAGCTCTCAGTTCCAAGGTACTACCTCCTGCTCACCCCTGAACCCCAGCAGGAGTTGACAGCCTCAGACATAATTGATGCTTGGTACATGAATGGGTGGGTGAATGGATGAATGAGGGTGCATAGGATCAAAGTACATTTATATGCATGTATAGAAATGTCATGAAGAAACCCCCTTACTATGTATGGTTCGATATACACCAAAAAAACCTTTGACCCTGAATAAACTTATCTTAAAAGCAAATAAATACAAAAAATCAAACTTTTAAATTGTTTTAAAAAAACCCCAAACATTCCGAGTGTGAAGACAAGTTTGGATCAATGTTTCTAAAACACATGAGCTTTGGCCCTTGACTAGATTTTCTCTCTGGTTTCCTTCTTTGCTGAGCAATTGTCGTGGAGCAGGGATAGGAACTGGTATCTTCTTGGCCAGCCTGCCCTGTGTCTGGGCAGATCAGATCATCTGAACTCTTCAGGGCAGTTCAGCATCAGTGAGCCCTGACCTGACAACTTCCTTCATGTATTATTTGACCTGACACAGCTTGAAGTAATGTCAAAAAATGCATTTTTGGAATCAGTGACAGGTAACTCTAATTTTAGCTCTACCTTTTATAAGCTATAAACCTGAGGAGATTATTTCTCTGGATTTGGCTTCTTCATCTATAAAATAGTAATGATCATAGCACCTACATCGTTGTGATGATTAAATAACTCATTTTTACTTCTAAGAGTTTGGCAGACTGTCTTTTGTTGTTTTTTTACATTTAATTTTATTTTCTACTTGTGTACTTTAAAATCATGAGAAAGCATTTATTTTATATATTTTCCCTGATTTAGAAATATTCATGTTCAAGATAGAAAACTGTATATAGCAAGGTCTTTAAAAAAAAAAACCCTAAATCAATCACTTTATCTGTAACCATTATTAGCATTTTATGCATTACCATTTGGTAAGTCCTTTGTTCATGAGCAACTTCTCTATTTTAAAAGATAATTCTTAATTCTTCCTTTCACCCTGACCCCAGCTTCTAGAGGCCACCACTGTCACCAGTCTTGAATGCTTCCTCTCCCCCCCACCCCCCAGCCCCGGGCCAGAGTCTAAATACTTAGAGATATCCATTTACTTTTCATATCACTTGAAGCCAACATGGTGGACCACTCACTGTGAGTTCCCTTTCAGATGCCTCCATGGGCAGGGCCAGATAGGGCTCTGGTGACAAGTTCTGAGGGCTCAATGACACTTGGGCTTTGCGTGTATTTTTACTTTTTGAATGGAAAACCTGAAAACAACTAAGCAGGTGTTAGAATTCTCAGACTCAACTGTTTCCACAGTTGGTCAAGCGAGGAGCCAAGCTGCAGACAGTTGAGGCCCACAGACAGGGAGATCTGAGGCAGAAGTTAGGCTTTCTTCAATTTTGCATTTATTCTCAGGGCAAGGTTTCCAGAAGGTGCAATCTGACAGGGAAAGATCATACTTTGTGACTGAGAATGATCCAGAAAGTCAGGGCTATATGTCCCTAGGTTGCTCTGCTGTATAGGTTGAGCCCAAGTCAACTCAATCCACTCTAACACCAGTCCTGCCCCCATCCTCACCTTCAGGCCTCACAGCCCTGTGTCCTCCACCTCCTGTCATGTGAACCTCTCTCCTTCACACTGCACCTCACTCTGGTCATGTCTATTTCACCCATCCTCTCACCAGGACCTGTCTTCCCCACAAGGTCCTTCCTCTCAGCCTCCCTTGTCCTTTTCTTGATTAATTGACCAACTCAAGCACACGGAGAACTTGACTCTATAAGGGACACAGTGGAGAAAGGAGGGGAGATAGGAGATTGGACTGTCTTAGAGCTAAGCCCTAAGAATGACAAATAAGAATTAACAGATGATGCATTTGAGATTTCATCTGTAAAGAGAGTATTAAATAATATAGTGACTATGACAGAGGTTTGTAAGCTGTAAAGGCTATCCAAGCACCAGGGATTCATATTCTCATGAGGGGACATGGGAGCCAATCGTTACTTTTACAAATTAACTTTTAAATTATAAAAGTGATTCTAATTCATTTTAGGGGCTAAGGAAAGAAATTAAATATAAAATAAAGATAGAAAAATTCTCATGACCTTATTAGAGACTGTGGTTTTGTATAGTATATGCCCTATCCATCTGTGGGACCTGTTTCTGTGGAGAGATTATCATCCCTCTGTTGACAAATTTTGCTGCATGACTTACTCTGGCCAGTTCAATGTGAATGGAATGGGAGGCTCTGCCGTCTTTCTTCTCCCTCTGTCACAAGGCCAGCATATCTCAGGTGACAGCTTTCCTATCAGCTTGGGTCCTGGAATGAAGAGCCCTGTGCAGGACAAGTGAGAGACAAACGCTCTTGTGCAATCGCAGCATAATTTGCCGAGTTATCTGATACACAGGGAGGGAAACAACTGCAAATAATTTTGGTCCTAATTCTTTAGCTTTTTTTTCTATGCTTATATTCTATGTACTTTGTAAAAATAAAATATTTATACTAAACTCAGCTGATTTGTAACACTATCACTGAGTCACACCTTCAGGTCCACATTTACAGGCTGAGGTGTGACTGAAGCGGGAAAAGGCTCATAGCGTAGGACATGTGGCTTTGCAAAGTGCATTTTGTGTTTCATTTTGCAAATACTGCAGTGAGTATCTTTAACAGATATGGATTCTTCTTTAAAAAACCCCCACATGAGCATCAGCACACTTAAAATTAATTAATTGCTTCTTATCAGCAAATATTAGTCTTTGGAAACATTTTGCTGACTTATTTTTTGCTGTTATTTAAATCAGCGACCCAAGTAAGGACTGTCCTTACTCGGTGCATCTCTTAAATCTCTTATTCTAAAGTTCTCTTCCTTGTAATATATTTGTAGAAAAAATTAAACCAGTTGTTCTGTGGAGTTTCCCATGGTCTAGATTTTGCTGATTCTATTTTTATGGAATCATTTACACATTTTTTTGTTTTTGGTGGTGGAGGTACTGGGGTTTGAATTCAGGGCCTTGTACTTGCTATATCTATCTATCTATCTATCTATCTATATCTCTCTATATATCTACATACATATATACATCTATATATATTTATGTGTGTATATATATCTGCATCTCTCTATATATCTATATCTATATATCTATATAGATATATATATATATGGTCTTGATCAAATTCAGAGAATGGATTTTTAAATTAAACACATTATAAACATTTCTACATGATTTAATAACCTTCTACAACACATTTTAAAAACGATTATAGAACTGTTGACTACATGAATGTGCCATTTGTTTTGCTAGTCCCCTATTCTTGGGTAATTAGGTTGTTTCTATTTTATTGTTACTACATACAACTCACTTATAAACATCCTTGTGAACTAATGGCTTTCCAGCCTGAGTTGTCACCCTTCTTTTCTGTTAGTTCCTGAGGATGGTGGATGCCTGTGCCAGCTTCCTCACAGAAGCCTTGAACCCAGAAAACTGTGTAGGAATCCTGAGGCTTGCAGACACACACTCCTTGGACAGCCTGAAGAAGCAAGTTCAGAGTTACATCATTCAAAACTTCGTGCAGATTCTGAATTCTGAGGAGTTCCTTGAGCTTCCCGTGGACACTCTGTACCACATCTTGAAGAGTGATGACTTGTATGTGACGGAGGAGGCTCAGGTGTTTGAGACGGTGATGAGCTGGGTCCGGCATAAGCAGTCAGATCGACTCTGCCTGCTCCCCTGTGTCCTCGAGAACGTGCGCTTACCACTTCTGGACCCGTGGTACTTTGTGGAGATGGTGGAAGCAGATCCCCTCATTAGGCAGTGCCCAGAGGTCTTCCCGCTGCTTCAGGAAGCCAGGATGTACCACCTTTCAGGCAATGAGGTGAGTTGGAGGCGAGAGGTGCTATATTTAACTTGAGAGGTAAGGGGTTAGCCAGCGGGGCTCAGAGAGGCAGAAAAAGCTGGCTCACAAGTCCTTAGGACATTGAGTAGAAGATGCTACACTTTTCATACTTTGATCAAGAGTTCTAGAAGATGCCTGACCTGTAAAATGCGGGACACTACACTCCCAGACAGCTACTGAGAGATTAGGGGAGGTTATGGAAAGTATCCAGCACTGTGCTGGCACATCCTTCCTCTTCACAGCTGTGCACACACAAACCAGACTGTGTCCTGTGCGGTCATCATTCCCTGGGGGAGCACTGCTGTCCTAGTTGTCTTCTGCGGTGAAATTTTGTATCTCTCGATCTCCTCTGACATTATCTTGATTCAAACATCATTTCCTTCCTGAATTTCTGGAAATTCTCTAGAACCCATCTCCCTATTCCCAGTCTGGCCTCCCTCTAGTTCATTCCCACCAGCGGGATGGTGTAAAACTCAAATGTGAGCATCTCGACTTACCTTCTTCACTGGCTTCCTGTTGCTTTGATACTTCCTGCCAAAGCTCTCAGAGCCTAGCATTTATGGTTTACCTACTGCCCACTTTCTGGCATCATCTCCCACCTCCCTCTTCTACCGTAGTTCTGAAGCACTGCTTGTATTCCCCAAAGTGGGCTGCTTTTCTAGCCTCTAGGATGGTGCAGATACTGGTTACTGCCTCCTTCTCCTTCCTCTAGCTGACTTCCACTTTTGCTCCAAAATCCGGTTCAAGCATCACCTTCTCCAGAGACCTCTCTGTTTTTATAGCCCTTCGATCAACTGCAACATGGTAGCCATTGAATTCATTATTGCAACTGTCTCTAGACTGGGAGCTTGTGACAGTAGGCAATATGGCTTACTGGACTTTTCATCTCTAGATCTTGGGAGAGAGTCCTTGGTATATCTTGAGTAATGGTAAATGTTTATTGAATGATTAAATGGTACCAGGATGGCTAATTCATAATACTTTTGGATCTAGCTGGTTCTCCTTAACAATATCTGGAGAAATTTTTTATTCAGAACTTTATGTAAAGATAAAAACAGGCTTAGGAGAGAGCAACAAAGCCATCAGGAACTATTGACATGGGGACAGTTTGCTAATCATTTACACATGACCACATTGTTTACATGTGCCTATCAGTATGCACTTATTCTGAGATTAGCCACCAAGGTTCTTCTGTAGGTGATTGGGAGAAACCTCAGCCCAAAGTGGCTCAGCATTCACCCATCTGAAGCTCCTTAGGAGGCTCTTCCTTCTCCTGTTCTTGGTGGTTCTTAGACCCACTGTTCATTCATTCACTCTGGGAATGTACTCTAAAGTGTCTGGTAGAGTTTACCAGAGTCTGGAGTCTTTCTTGTCAGAGGGTTTCGAATACAAATTATCACTTTAATAGATACAACACTATTTGGGTTATCTATTTATTCTAGAATAAGCTTTGATATTTTGTGTCTTTCAAAGAATGTTTCCATTCCATACTGATTGCTGAATTTATTGTCATGAAGGTATTCTGGTATTCCCTTATCATCCTTTCACTAGCTATAGAATCTGCAGTGATGCTCCATCTTTCATTCTAGATTCTGCTACCTGTGTCTTCTCTTTTTTTTTTTTCTTGAAAAATTTGCTTAAAGGCTTATCATTTTTACTGATTTTTCTCAAACCACTAACTTCTGGTTTCATTTTATTTTTTCTCTATTGTTTTCCATCTTTTATTTAATTTATTTCTACTCTGATCTTGATTATTTTCTTTCTTTTTTGGGATTGGGTTAAATTGCTCTTCTCTTTCTAGTTTCTTAAGGGACAAGCTGAGGACATTGATTTGAGACATTTACTTTTTTAAATGTTAGCATTAATGCTATAAATTCTCCCTTAAGGACTACTTTGACTACATTATGTACATTTTAATATGCTGTATTTTTGTTTTTTACAGATAAACTCTAAGCAGCAACTATATGCCAGATATGATACCAGATACTGTCTTAGCCCATTTTGTGTTGGTATAACAAAATGCCAGAAGCTGGGTAATTTATAAAGTAAAGAGGTTTATTTGGCTCATGATTTTTCTGGCTGGAGGCTCTAAATGCCATGGCACCAGCATCCTGGCAAGGGCTCCATGACAGTGTCACAAACTACAGAGAAGCAGAAAAGGCAAGTGGCCACATGCAGAATGGATCAAGTATGCAGATGGCCTCAGTTTATAACAACCCACTTTTATAAGAACTAATTCACTATGAGACCAGCATGAAGCCCTTCTGAAGGTGGTACCCCCACCTTAAGATCTAATTATCTCCCACCTTCAAGAGGCCTCACTTCTTAAAGCTTCTACCACCTCATATCACCACACTGGGGACTAAATTTCC